CCCCCCGGAGCCCCCCGAGCCGCCCGTGCCGCCCTTCCCCTGCCACCAGCAGCTCCCCGGCTCCGCACCTGGGCTGGGGGAGGCGGCGGTGCCGCGCTGCCCTTCGCCTCTCCTCTGCGGGGACGCGAGCGGGAGCTGTTTGTCGCCGCTGTCGCCTTCCCCGCTGGCTGCCGCACACCGGGGGCTGCCCAACCCCGGYGCTACCGGAGCCACCGGAGCCCCCCGGAGCCCCCCGGAGCTCCGCCGATGCCACCAGCGCAAAACGCGGGGCACTGGGACAACCGGCAGAGGACGGGCACAGCCCTCGCCCCCCACTCGCCCCCCGCCCGCTCGGGGCTGCCCCGGGGACCCGCGCTGTCCCCTCGCAGCCCGGTGGCACCGGGCACCGGCCGTGCCCGCCGCGGTGGCCATGCCGGGAGCCGGGAGCGGGCGCTGAGCCGGGAGGGCCCCCGGGACCATGCTGAAGTTCCGGGCGGACCGGAGGGTGAGGTAGGAGCCCGCGGGGGTCTGGGGGAGGCTCCGGGGGATCCGCGGGGAGCCCGCGGTGCGGGACCCTCGGGCCGGGCAGTGGCTGCTGCATTGCAGTGCTTGCGAGGCGATCGGGACTCGCGAGTTTCTGGAGCGGGGTCAGCCCCGCCGGCGGCTCCGGGCGCTGCCCGCGGGAGGGTTCCGGCCCTTCCCGGGGTCTGGGGGCGCGGGCGGGCTCGGGTTGGGGGGAGGCAGCGCCGTGGGTGCCAGGAGGAGCCGCGGGGGCTGCGAACGGGGGGTGTCCAGCCCGCGGGGAGGGTCCAGCCCGCGGGGAGAGCGACCTGCGGCGGTGCAGGGGTGGGAACGCTCTGTGTGGGGTTCAGGGGGTGGGCAGGGACCCCCGGCGTGGGGTGCAGAGCAGCCGGTGGGTGCTGGCAGCGCCCGCTCCCCACARCGGGAGCTTTTAGGGCGCTGCTGTCTTGGCATTTGCACCGTGGCTGTGTCAGCGACACTGCGGGGATGGCACCTGCCCCAATTCCCGGGAGCTGAACCCCTCCGGAGCCGCTGCCGGGGGGRAAACGGAACGGGAGCGGCTCCAGGCGCGGGTGGAACCCGCCGGAGCTCGGGCCGGGCACTGAGGGTGACTCCGGTCAGACCGAAGCGGCGCTGGGAGGGTTTGGAGAGCAAATCCCACATCGTGGGGTGCATCCCTCAGGGTTTTAGGGCGCCTCTGAGGGCTGGCGGAGGGATCGGACGGRGTGGGAACTGAGAGGGGCGGCAGCATTTTTGGGCAGTGAAGGGTTAATGCCTCCAGGGGCTGGCACGAGCCCAGGCTGGGATCGGGATGGATTTGGGATCAGATGGGTTTGGGGTGGGATGGGTTTGGGATGGGTTTGGGATGGGATGGGTTTGGTACAAGTTGGGTTTGGRATGGGTTTGGGATGCATTTGGGATARGGTGGGTTTGGGWTGAGTTTGGGTTTGAAATGGGTTCGGGATGGGAATGGGATGGATTTGGGATGGGATGGGTTTGAAATCGTTTCTAGATGGTCTCAGCAGCGGTGTTTTCTCACTCGATCTTCCCCCGTTCGCTGACAGGCGGGAGGGGTCGGTGGCGGGCTGGGGGTGCTGACCCGGGATCGGGGGGCTCCGTGTCCTGGTGCCCGGTGGATTTGGGAAAGGGGGATGGGGTCCAGTGCCAACTTCCCGGGATGGAGCCCCGAATCTCGTCCTTCCCTCCTGTCACAGCCCCGAGGACCCTGGGATGGSAGTTCCGGGGTGCCCGGCAGTGCCACCTCTGTGGGATGGGACAGGGACAAGGCACAAGGTGCCAGCCGAGCCTGTGACAGCCCTGTCACCCCGCTCCTGGCACTGCCAGGGATCCCTTCAGCC